GATTCTCTGACTTGATATCCATTTTTACAAACAACCCCATCAAACTTTTCATGCCAGAGTTTCGGTGTCTGCTTAAGTCCATATAGAGGCTTAACAAGTTTACAAACTTTACCAACTGGAGCATCAAGTCCTTCTGGTTTCTCCGTGTAGATCTCTTCTGTGAGATCTCCATTGAGAAAGACAGTCTTCACATCCATCTGATGGATGATGAACATTTTAATCGCCGCCCATGCGATAAGCACTCTGATGGTAGTGATCCTATAAATTGATGCATAGATATCAAAAAAGTCCACATAGAGGCAGTCTTGCTTTGTACTTTTCAATAGTACCATCAGGACGAAGCTTCTTTCTTGAAGATCCACTTACAACTGATAGGCCTTACACCTTCAGGTATATTCACCAGCTCCTAAGTATGATTTTGGATCAAAGAATCCATCTCATCCTCTATAGCTTCTTTCCACAGAAGTGCTTTTGTTGACTGCATTGCTTCTTGGAAAGTTTGTGGGTCTCCTTCCACATTATAGGTGATGAAGTCATCTCTAAAATCTTTCTGTCTCCTGATACGCTTGGATGGTGTTTCAGTAACTTCTTCATCATTGGCACTTTTGATTTCTCGCGAAACTGGCTCCTCTTGTGCATCTGACGTACTAGCATTCTCTGCTATATCTTTGAGCGATAAGCCTTTATCTTTGATAAACTTATCCTCAAAGAATTCTGCATCTAGAGCTTCAATGATGGAGTTGGTTCCAAGGTCTAGGAACCTGCAAGCATTGCTATCTTTAGCGAAGCTAAGAAACACACATTTGTTAGTCTTTGGTCCGAGCTTAGGCCTTCTGATATCTGGAATTCGAACATATACGAGACACCCCCACACTTTGAGATTATCCAAAGGGTTTGGATATCCCAACCATAACTGATAAGGAGTACTATCAGTTTTGGAGTAGGGTACTCTATTTAGAATCTAGTTTGTCATTAGCAAAGCCTCTCCCCAATAGCAGGTAGGTAAACCAGATGTGATTGGCACCGAATTCACCATCTCGATCAATGTGCGATTCTTCCTTTTTGCAATCCTATTAGATTGCGGAGAATACGGAGCAGTAGTTTTGGCAATGATTCCATGCTCCTTGAAGTATGCTTCCGACTCCTTAGATCGATACTCTCCTCCTTTGTCGCTCCTGAATCTTTTCACCTGCAGTCCAAGCTGCTTCTCCACTCGAGTCCGAAACTCGACAAACTTGCTGAAGGCTTCATCTTTAGATTTTAGCAGGTAAACGTGACAGAAGCGAGAATGGTCGTCAATGAAGGTGATGAAGTACTTCTTGCCGCCACGAGTGACGAAGCTCTTGAAGTCACATGTATCTGAAAGAATCAGATCCAACAAGTTGGTGTTCCTCGTGACACTTGAAAATAGCTTTCTCGTCAGCTTTGCTTGCGCGCAAACTTCACATTTCTCAGGTTTGTTACCCCCATATTTTGGAAGTAATCCTAACTTCTCCATGCTAGACAATTTTCTATAATTTACATGTGCTAGCCTATTATGTTATAATACAGTGGAGTAAGCAGAAGAGGATACTTCATTTATAACCAAGTTGGGTGCAATAGTACTGATCTTATACAGGCAATCAGTACGATATGCATTGCCAAAATACATTTTCTTAAAGGATAATACAGCCTTACCTCATTGGAAATCCAGCCTCATACCTACATCATATAGTAGGCTTCCAGAGACTAAGTTTTTAGCAATGGAGGGAACATATTTTACATCCTTCAATGTGAGAGTCTTTCCTGAAGAGAGAGTCAGCACCACAGTTGTTTGGTGGAAAATTTGTAGTAAAAAAATGAAAGAAATTTGATTTGTATTCTCTCAATCTCAATTACAATTTGGATTTTCCGATTACAAAAGAGAAGAGGATCGACAGAGATCCTCCCCTTTGTTTAATTCTGGGTTCTTCACTGTAGTGATGAGATGCCTCCCTCGAATGCTCGCGTCGAGTTTGCTTCTCGTTGACGATCCGACGTCTTGTTTCACTAGAACGTGATCTTCTCCTCACGATTTGACGTTGAAGAGAACTTGTGTGGCAAGTTTGAAACTTTGAACGAGTTGATAACTCAGAGCGAGTTTAAACTCTTTAAAAGAGTTGATTTAACCGAAATCGGTTAATAAGCCAAGGATGAAAGAAAGCTCCTGTTGTTGATCTCCAAAGCTCCAGCAATTCCCCCTAAGATCTCTTTTTTGCTGCCAAAAAGAAGGATCCGAACTAAGCTGATTTCTTAGTTATTTATAGGGGATTAAGGGGTGTAACCACCCCCTTAATTCGCTCCTAAGTGGGGCTAATGGGATATAATCACCCCTTAAATCACTCCAGAGTGGAGTTGTGATCCCCTCAGATCGTGGAAAACGGTTTTGAAACCATTCAGCTCGTGTTTGAACTAGTCAAACGCAAAATCCGCGTTCTGGCATGAATTCTGCTTTCAAACGCAGTGTCTGGAAGCTCGAACGAAACGTCTGGAAGCTCGGACGTGGCAATTGGAAGCTGTGTTGGCACCGTTAGCAGCTGGATCTGACCTGCGTTTGCAGCGATTTGGAAGCTGCGTTGGCAGCGTTGGAAGCTGAATGTGAGCTGCGTTTGCAGCAATTTGGAAGCTGCATTGGCTACGTTGGTAGCTGAATCTGAGCTGCGTTTGCAGCAATTTGGAAGCTGCATTGGTAGCTTTCAGAGGCTACGTTTGCGGTCGAATATTAGCTGCGTTGGCAGCTGGATCTGAACTGCGTTTGTAGCGTTTGGAGCTGAATGTGAGCTGTGTTTGTGGCTAGGTTTGAGCTGTGTTTGCGCTGCGTTAGTGGCCGAGCTTGAGTTGCGTCAACGGCTAAAAGCGCTGTGTCTTGATGCTGGTACGCGGGGAGGACTTCCACGTCTTGGTTTGAAGAGACCGTCGATTTATAGTCTCTTTCTGTCAGAGCGTTGCAAAGATCGTCATTTTGTAATCTTTGCTTTAGCTGTTTGATATGTGAGAGTCGTCAAATTGTAACTCCTGATGTTGATTGTGAATGCTGTTGATTAGAGCTTTCATCAGTTGTTGTGAAGATCGTCAGATTGTAACCTTCATCAATTTACATGAAAGTCTTTAAATTATAGCCTTCTGGAAGCCGTCAAATTGTAACTTCCATCATCGGTGTTTGATGGGGATCAGCTATCTGTAGTGATTTTTAGACAGCCTACAATAGTCCCAGTTCCAAGAACAGAAACCACAGAACGATCAGCCATTGATACGTTCTCTTTGGTAGCAACATAAGAAGAGAAAAAAAATCTCTATTAGAGCAAACATGACAAGTAGCACCTGTATCTAACCACCAATCAGAGATATTACTGTTAGGAGTTGTTACCTGGAAGATCATAGCCACACAATCATCAACTTGATTGACATTGTGTGTAGTTTCTTTCTTTGGTGCTTTGCAGTCCTTGGCAAAATATCATTGCTTCCCACAATTGAAGCATTTGCCGCTCTTCTTGAACTCCTTCTTCTGAACGTTCAGGTTCTTTGGATTCTGGTTCTTCCTTTTGTTAAAGAACTTCTTCTACTTGTTGAAAGATAAATTATTACCCTTCTAAGAGTTAGCAGCCACCATGTTAGCAGACGCCTTCTGCTTAGCAATGAGCTCATTCTTCTGCGAGTCCGAGTCTCATCCTCGATCCGAATGAATCTTTTCAAATCAGACAGAGTCACCTGTCTTTTTCTTTTTTGAATATCAGTGGAGAATGACATCCAAGATGGAGGAAGCTTGTTGACAATTGTACCAGAAATAAAAGTTTGACAAAGACTGATTTTTTCATCTTTCAGCTTCATAACAAGCTTTTCAAGCTCTTTGACTTGAGGCAAAACCTCAGTGTCGTCTTCGAACTTGAAATCTAGAAACTTATCGATGAGGTGAGATTTGGATAGCTTCTCCTCATCCTTGTACTGGTCTTCCAGAGCATTCCATATTTCCTTTGCAGAGGGTTTGTTGGTGTAAGCATCTGCTAGATGATCGGCCACGCAGTTAAGGAGATAACTCATGCAAAAGTGATCATCTCTAGCCCAAGAGGCTTCAGACTCAGAATATTCTTCAGAGTCGGGTTTCTCCTCAGAGACACATAGTAGATTTTCAATAGTTGCATCCCGAAGATCACTTTCCGTCATCATGGGTTGAAGTTGGAACCGTCAAAGTTCTCTAACTTAAGATAGTCCACTCCAAGAGTCCTTGCAGGATTCATGGTAGATCAGAATATTGCTTTAAGATTGTTGGCACCTGTGGTTAAATATGGAATAATACAGATATAAAGCAGCAAAAACTGAAAAGAAATCTGAAGTGCAGTAATTTTAAATTTTCAACTCAGCTGTTGTGTGTTTGTAAAACGCTATGCTTAAAGCAATATTTGGCCTACTCCGGTGCAAGGATCCCAAGGTCAAATTGCTTCCAGAAACAGCAGTACAGTACTCTGGTGTGCACCGACCAAGTACTGTCAAGATCTCCTCGATCTATAGGACCTCTCGGTCAAGGCAACGATCTCTTCGATCTATAAGACCTTCTCGGTCAATGCAATGATCTCCTTGATTTATAAGACTTTCTCGGTCCAGGCAATGTTCCTACGAGCACTAGCTATTTTACAACATATATATATTTGTATATATTGATTGTTATTTTTGGAATGAATTTTTCTTAAGAGTTTGGGGTCTATTTATATCGTTTGAGAAAACACTATGCACTAATAAAATAATATTATTTTACTATGCATGTGGGGCCCGCAACTCTTAAATTTACGTTTTGATTTCATTTTTCTAAAATGGCTGCTCCTTTTTATTTTTCTTTCAAACTTGCCGGCTGCAGCCAGAGTTGAATGCAAAAGAAAATGGTGGGACCCACTTAATTTAAAAAAAAAATTTATCTTAACAAATTCATCTATGCATCTGAAAAAAGAAAAAGTTTAAACCTTCAAAACTCGATGCTTTCACTACTTCAAAAATCAAACGTAGCAACGGTAGGATTTCAATTCGTGAGAGGATCAATCCAGTCACCCATCTAAATACAAACAACCTGTAGCATACAATTACAGACGGAATGATTTCCATAAACAGGTGCCACCAAAATCATCTTCGATGCCCATTTTGCACTTTCTATCTTGCTTCTGTTGGCTTTGTTGTCAACCCAAAACCAAAGGGGAACAGAGGGTCATAATACTTATCACCAACATTCATCGGCAGCTGATCAACAGACTTAAACCAAGTTCTGGGGAGTTTCCCAGTGAATCCATAGTCACCAAAGAGAACATCAGTGACCCCTTTGCCCTCCGAGCCAGGGAGCCAAGCAGCAACCAGAGCATCCATTGATGAGAGATATGGCTTGATCACGAGTGGCCTACCGGAGATCAGAACCACAACACACTTTATTTGACTGCAAACTGTCTTGACCGTGCTCGGACCCGGAGAAGGAATTGTAAGATTAAGGTTGTCTCCTTGAGTTTCAGCATATGGAACCTCTCCAACCACGACAACGGCAAAAGAAAAATTGCCTTTTTTGATGAAGCTAGAGCTGGGGCTGTTAGAATAGACGATTTCGGTTGCTGGGTCCATGGTGGATTTGATTGCATCAAGTATTGTAGTCCCTGTAATTGACAACAGAAATCAAACGCTTTGATGCGGGGTTCAGATGTTATGTAAATGTGTAAGGAGAACACTAACTTATGCTTGTGTTGCTTTTCCATGGTTAGTTTGAGCAATTGAAGAAATGATGGCTTGTCTGAACGTTAGTTCGAATGGCTTACAAGTTGAAATTATAAACTGAAATCATTTGGAACTATTATTTGATACATTATTGCTTGATGGAACGAGCAATTTGTGAATACAAGCTCCCGTTACTATGATTATGTGTTTCTTTTAAAATTAGTTTGCATGTCTGTATGTAATTCCGCAAGAGCTTGTGAAAGAAGAATTAAGGCCAACGAGATATGCCAAAAAAAATAAACACTACCTTTGATTAGCGGAATAAGATACAAAAATGTAAAGAATGAAAGGCTTAACGCAACAAATCTCACCAGCAGTGATGTTTCCACTAGCTCCTTGCCACTCAATGGTCCATCCACCACACTGATAACCCAAGTTATCGGCATGGCTTCCAGCGACCAGGATCTTTGGAACCTTCTTAGGGAGAGGCAACAATGGCTGGTTTGGATATTTGCCATTTTTCAGTAGCACAAGTGATTTTCTCACAGCTTCTCTAGCCAATTCCCTGTGTTCCTGTTTAAATAAATGACTCATAAGGATCACATTTTCATAAAGTCTTTGCTCCTCAAGTTACAGAGTATATATCATTGAGAGTCAGAGACAGGAAATAACCTTCTTGCCCAATTGGTCAGCAAAGCGTAGATCAGCGATGGGGTTCTCAAATAGACCCATGACAAACTTAACTCGCAGAATTCTTCTAACAGCATCATTAATTCTGCTCATAGGGACAATCTTCTTCTTAACAAGAGAGGTAAGATCATTAGTGAATTCCTTATAGTCGTAGGGAACCATCACCTACAATACATAACAACTTTAAATGATATGGAGAAGACCCATAGCATTCAATATCATTCGGATCTTCATATATGAAACCGCAACAACACACTCCCATATAACAGTCAGTTTCAGTTTTCAAGCACCAAATTACCAACTTTAACTCCATAAGTACCAGATTAATACGAGGACTTGAAATTTTCAGATGAGTTTATAAGCATCGATGCACAATACAATATTTAAATCTCTAGTTAAGAGAGAAGAATAATCCAATTAGTCAAAACATGAAACCGAAGATTAAAAAGGCAATCAGCATAACAAAACTGTCACTTTCTTAACATCATTGCAAAGTATCAAGTGATACATAACTACTGACCATGTCAATACCAGCATTGACTGCAGCTTGGACTGAATACGTGTAATTTGCACCTGGTGGATTGGTAATCATATCAATGCCCTTCCAACTTGAGATGACAAAGCCCTGAAATGGCAACAAACACAATACTTAGCCATTGTATCAAACAGAGAATGAATGATTCTCCTATATACAAAATTTCTTTGATTATGTGCATTGCATTGTGCAACATACCCTAAAATGGAGTGTGTTTTTGAGAAACCCAGTGATAAGACCGCGATTGGCATGCATTTTCACTTCATTCAAACTTGAATAAGCTACCATAACAGTAGCAACACCCTTGATGATGGAGTCGTAGTAAGCTGGCATGTGAATGCTAAGAAGACCATGACGATTGATAATGGTGTTATTCTTATCAATTCCCTTATATGTCCCACCATCAGCAACATAATCTGCAGCACAGGCTGCAACTTTGTCCCTGTCAAAATGAACAAGGAATGAGAGATACATAAATGACATCATTTGTTCAAAAATCAGTTTAACGTTCAATGGCAACTGCAGTGTAGCATTTAAGTTTACAAAATTGACCTTGTACTTGGAACTACTATATAAAGTTTATATTTCCCCACTTTTTTTTAGGAAAAACAGGGATAGTTATCCCCCATATCTTTTGCTAAAAATATGTTCATAGAACATTGACATTCATAAGATTGAGAAAATGCCCAACAGGAAAATGGATGTTTGCTATAGATGATGCACAACAAGAAAATGGATGTTTTCTATATATGATGTTATAGTACACGAGTGACACTAAAGCTTTCACCTTACAAATCTTAAATGCTCTAATGATCAGAACAGCTGAAAATGTTAACGGACTAAAGTCTGGCCATCAGAAAAACTCAGGAATCATTTTGTAAAAGGGGTAAAACATGAGTTTTTCTAAGTAAACTTTGACTGTGTCTCTTTAACAATGATAGGCACCATGAATGATTCATGAGCAGATAGATTAAGTGTTCAAATGTTGATCAATGTAAATTGAAATGGGGTCGTGAGGATCTTGAGCATTGCTTGAGACTCGAGCCCTCCATAGATAATTTGATCACCTCTAGAGCTAGTCTTGAACTCTCCCTTTGTATACTTTCTGTTCAGATACATTTCTCCCTTGTAACCGGCAACAACAATTTTAATATAACAGAAAAAATATAGAAACCATCACGAAAAATTGATGTTCAATGTATATTTGTATAGTGAGAAGGGCCATAGACCACTACTTTCTTTCCAAAAAAATGTCCATCTATTATCAAACTGAGGAAGTTAACGTGAATTTGATGTAAACTAAAAAGTCAGCTGGCTGATAATTATAGTCACAACAAGACTTGCTATTAGTTGATGATTAAACTTTAAATGTCACACCTTCCAGCAACATAAGGTACTCCTCTGGAAAAATTAGCAGGAATTTCTCCCTGTAGTCCCGGAATAATTTCCGTCATTGCTTCAACAATCTTGTGATCTTCACTGTAGCTTTCATAACAGAGACCCCACCTTGGATCTCTGCATACCTGAAATGGCTCTATGGAATAAAAAACACATACTGCTTTAACTTGAAACAAATTGATGTTCAACTTTAGAGAGTACAAAGAAACCCAACTATCTCTTGGTGCTTATCTGCTTACCGACACACATGGAGCAAAGACGTATGGGATTCCTGTAGCCCTGACTTCAAGGGCTGTTGCAGCTCCAATCTTCTTCACAAGTTCAGGATCTCTAGCAGATTGAGAAATTTTCGAGTTAGTCTAGGATAAATGTTTTAGCTGTGCAGGACTAGAATTTCAAGCAACTCTAAAAATTGTATCAAATTGTAACTTTTGTTTGCTGAAGGTTGTACCGGCAATTGACTTGAGAGTGTGCTGACAGTTTGATGATTCATGAACTTAAAACTAGAATTTCAGTTTGAGGAAATTACTCCTAGTTAATCAAAAATAACATTCTCCAGCCATCAAAAACCAATGCAATAATTGACAGAATGATATCACAAGAATCGTCTTAAAAGAGTATCCATATGAAAGAGTTACAGTGCGTTTAAAGTTCAACTTACCAGGGATACCAATGCAACAATAGACAGAATGGTATCACAAGAATCGTCTTGAAGGAGCATCCATATGAAAGTGGTACAATACGTTTAAAGTTCAAGTTACCGAGATCTTTTATCCTAACAGACAAATTAAGGACTTGCCTTGTGGCTCCAAGCCCAATATTATGCGGGAAAATTGTTGCATTGTAGACACTGCTGCTTCCATGAACTGCATCAATTCCGTGTATCATTGGAATACCAAGACGAGTAGAAAGACTGCCCTTCTGAAATTTATTTACCATATTCACCCAATCCTTAGGAGTTGCCTGAGGATGAGGAACACCTCCCGGACCACTTACCACACTTCCTGCTTAACATATTAATTTCAGTTTATAGTATTTATTGAGATATTCATGCATGAGTACAGTCCCACGTTGAAAAGGATAAAGAACGAGTGATGAGTTAGATAGTAGTGTGGCCCCTGAATATTCATTAATGAGTGCAGTCCCACATTGAAAAGGATAAAAAAGAATGATGAGTTAAAATAGTAGTGTGGCCACTGGCCAATACCTAATATGTTAAGAAATTGATTCCTACATGTTATGTTGCTCCCCATAATTGCCGGTGTAGACTAAGGTCTAGTTAGCCCATAGATGCATGGTTACCGGTTTATACACAAAGTCGGATTAACCAACGGATGGATGATGCTCAAGATTGCCAGTGGGAGTGATAATAGTGTAAGAGCTCAGGAGATTGCTTGGATATTCATGTGTTAGCTATACTTCTTCATTGGAAATGACAGGGGAAAGAGGTGATGGTATCATCAGTATAAGTTAGGGAAAGGCCCATTAACTCCGAGTTGGGCCCCCTTTCTCCCCGGTAGCAGTTGCAACCTCTTTTACCTAGTATAAATGCATGTATCACAAAGGGAGGGATATATGTGGCAAATAATTAAGTTACCTATGAAGTAATCTTTCATTACTTCAGTGCTTGCAACCTTTCGTTCAATCTGAGTCATCTGACCAATCTTTTCAGCAAGGGTCATCCGTTTCATCAAGTCATTGATCCTACCATTTAATGGTTGTTTCGGGTCTTTGTACTTCATAAACTTGGCTTCTATAGATGATTCACATAAAAGCAAGAACAGAAGGCCTATAAAACACATTGGAGAGCACTCCATGTCCCTGAACCAAGCACAAACTTTCAGACCAATTTAGCTTTCAAAAGTTGATTGTGAGAAATATTGAAAATCTAATGGAAGATAAAAATGCTAGAAAAGAACCTTGTCATGTTCTAAGTCCAAAACTTACAAAAATCAAAATCAATCAACTCCTGCATGTCAGTAACTTCAAGACTACAAAAATCAAAATACTATCTACATATTACATCCCAAATAGTTACGTTGATCAGTTTGATCAGCTCCAATAAGAGTTCAACCACCAAAGTTTAGTAACGAGTTTATTTTTTTAAAAAAAAGGGGCAGAGAAGAGAGAGAATGCACCCAATAGTTAGTCCAAACGCGCGTTTTCTCTTTCTAACCTCCAAATTAGTTAACATCGATAAGGGCGCTGGCGAGATATTTATAATGAGCTCAACAGCTACAAAATGGGGGGAAAATAGGGTTTTCCCCTTATCAGTCCCTTACATCTTCAATATTTGAAATTAGTCACTCAAATCATTGAAGATGCAACCAATCTTATAAGTTGTCTCAAAATTAGGCCTTCAAAACTTGAAGCTTCTCTCAGGTCCAAGTTTCAAATAATCCCTCCACGCAAAATATAAGAACTGAACTTCTAGTGGCCATCCCAATGATTTGAGGGATTAATTTCAAAACATTGAAGAGTTAAGGGACTTCGGAAAAAACCCAAGAAAAAAAAATTACTATCAAGCAAAATAAAGCGTGGACCGCTAAAGGAAATAAGTGTGGTTCGCAATGATTAACATCCTTATCCCTTTCTCTTCGTTAAGAGGATTAAGGGTTAGGTAATGGATTTAAGGGACCACAATTTGGTCGACATCCTCTTGTGGCTTGGTTGATGTGACTCCATTTGATTGGCTGTGAGGCTAGTTGGAACTGACCACTGACCATTCATTGTTGGTCTGTGTGGCTCACTATGGAATATGTAATAATCTACCCCTACATTTAGGGCCTGTTTGTTTCACCAGTTTAAGGAATAGGATTAGTAATTGGGGTCTGACAGTGGCAATTTGGTAATTTATTGATTCTATGTGAATCTTATTCTGGGGTTTGGCTCAGCCAGAAATTTGGGATTACCAAATCTATAAAGTAGCTACAGTATCGTTTTTTTATAGAAACCCAAATCGGATGAAGATGAACGGATTTGGGCGAGATTTCTGACAGGGCGCTTCTGAGTCGATTCCGATTCCTATCTCGCGAAGTCGATCCCTAGATCTGGAATCGGATTTCGTCTCCCGCCGCATCGCCCTCTTCTTCGCGCCTCTTCTCCCGCGCTTCGTCTTCTTCTACTTGGTGTCGGGGCTCCAAATCGAAACCCTAGCTTTGTTTTCCCCGCGCTTCTGTTAGGTTTTTAACGCCTTCGATTCTTTGGTTTCCCTTCTCGATCTTGTTCTGCTTCGAGTGTGGTTGTTGGCTACTGTGTTGTGATTGACTTCGGTGGGTTTTTTGGTTGGCCGTCGGCATTCTGGAACTTCATCAGACAGGTATAAATTTTGTTTTTTTATTTTGCCTTATTTCTGCAGTTATTTTTCTATTTTTCCTATTTTCGCTCAAGTAGAAACTCTATACGGATCAAGAGGGGAGAAGAGGCTGTTCATCATCTTTCAAAGATTAATTTACCCAAACACTTATGCACGCATAATGTAATCCTCTATGTATTTTGAGGTAATTATATATTTAACTTTAATAATCTTTTATGAGAATTAACTCAAACTTCTCACAAGTAATAGAGGGTGATGAGGTTTTGAATACATAAGAGATTAATCTCATAATATTAGGGTAAAACAATTCATGCGGGTGTTTGTGTACTGGATTTTGTTGTTAATGTGCAAGTATTAGGTTGTTAGAATTATAAACGACATGAAACTGTAGTAGAAGTTATTTTTCTTGCACAAATCTTTCTAAAATCTAAATAAGGCCCTCAAATAATTAGTTAACCTTGCTGTGTACCGAACTTGCTGTTTTTTTCCCTTTTAATTCCTTATTTTTTGTGTGTGTGTAAATTATTAGCAATCTAACCATATAGTTTGTTTGTTTTTGGGTCTATATTGATTCTTGATAATTGTGTGAGATGGAATGCAACATTAGTTAAAATAATTTTCATTTTAATTAGATTACTTGCTTTAAAAGAAATAAATATTTGTATCAATTATCTACTTAATTTTGATAAGAAATACGTAGTCATCTTAAGCTGTAACTGTATGATAATTTTAAAACGGATGTAGATGGATATGGAAGATGAGGAAGAATTGAAGAGGATGTGTGCTAATACAGCTGTCTGCGCCGTGGTCACTTTGGTAACATGTATTTTGAGAATGCGTGCTAAGCGCAAGAGAATATCAACTTGTACGACGCAAGAAAAGATCAGAAAAATATATTGTAGAGAGGCTCACTTCAGACGTGTACTGGAGGGCTATCAAGATAGCTGCCAGTCTTATATTAGAATGAGACCGATGGCCTTTTTTAAGCTTGTTGAAGTAATGAAATCAAACGGTTTATTAAAAGATACAAGACACGTTCAAGTTGAAGAACAGCTTGCTATGTTCCTAAGTATTCTTGGGCACAAAACTAAAAATAGAATAATAAGAACTGAGTTCATAAGATCAGGGGAAACAGTTAGCAGATATTTCAATAAAGTTCTGCAAGCAATGAATGGACTGCGTGATCGGTACATGAAGCAAGCCCCAAAAGAAGTTCCAGAGGAGATTGCAAACAACTCAAATTATTTTCCTTACTTTAAGGTAAATTAAATACATACAGCTGAACATAGGTCCAAATAAACTTATTTTTATTCAACTATGAATAATTTATAATTTTTTTATAGGACTGCATTGGTTTGATAGATGGCACACACGTCGACGCGGTGTTACCTAGTGACCTAGTTGCAAGGTTTAGAGGGCGAAAAGGGGTCACCCAAAACATCTTAGCAGCCTGCACCCCCAATAAACTATTTACCTATGTCTTGGCTGGCTGGGAGGGGCGGCAAATGATTATAGGGTATTACAAGACGCCCTGTCAAGACCACAGCCTTACGGGCTCCGAGTTTATGATGGTATTCATTCTCACTTGTACACATTATGAATAATAAATTAACTACTTGGCAATATTTTAGATTTTAAAATACTGTTCAATTAATGTAGGTAAGTATTACCTCTGTGACGCTGGATACACCACAATGCCAGGTTTCATATCCCCGTATCGCGGTGTTCGATATCATTTAAAAGAGCACACCGGTAGGACACCAAAGAATAGGAAGGAGTTATTCAATTTAAGGCATTCATCTTTAAGATCAAAAATTGAATGCACATTTGGGATACTGAAGAATCGGTTTAAAATTCTTGCGGGGAAGCCGAATTATCCATTTCCCACTCAAGTGGACATTGTACTAGCGTGTACGGTGTTGCACAACTTTATTGCCTTGGAGGATCCGGCTGATGATATTTTCAATGAAAATGTTGAAATTGATGAAGATACTGGGGAAGAGACAAATGACGACGATTCAAATGTGGTGGACTATACTCAAAGTAGGACACAAAGAGAGGATCGAGATGTTAGAAATGAATGGAAGGAGATGCGAGATCAAATTGCTTGGGCGATGTGGGTGGATTATTGTGCAAAGTACAATGGTGGTGACACAATGGAGAGTGGTTTAACTTAGTGTGGAATTTGTTCTTTGGCTATGTACTAACTTGGTGAATTTTAAATTACTGTTTGCGACGATATTGTTTATTGTTTTTTAGCTTGTACCAAAACATTACTACTTTTATCGTTTGCTTTTTTTTATGTTGTTTGAACCAGACATATCATCGTTTCGTATATTCCTTGATAATTGCATTCTGTTCCCATATTGTTTTATATTTCTTTATTGTTAATATGGCTATGCTTACAAAATATATTAGGTATGGCTAACAATCCGGCAGATAAGCAAAGCGTGCCTTCTCATTCGAATGCAATGCCAAATCCTTATTCAGGGATTAACATGAACTGCATGCCTGTTCGACCACAGCCATTTACCTCACCTCCGCATACATTCTCACCATTCCCACCATGGGATGGTAATTATGGTGGGATGACACAGCCGCCAATGTCATACATGAGCATGTTAGGCAGTCCACAGGGTTTGATGTTTCCCACAGTCAGTTCTCAAAGTAGTGGAGCTAATCAATTTTCACCGAACACTGGTGATTCCGGTGGAAAGGATATTCATGACGTTGAGGGTGCGGAGCATACTTCGCCATTGAAAAGAGGAAAAAGATTAGCACATAAAAAAAAGGTTCCTTGTGCCAGGTTGAACTCAAGAGGCGTGGCTAATAAGTTTTGGCTTCCAGAGCACGATGATGTGCTTATTCCTTATCTTGCAGATTTGGCATTGGATGGCATGAAGCCAGACAAGAACTTCAAGGCCGAAGCTTATAAAATGGCTGCCATGAAAATCAACATGCAATTCAGGACCGATTTCACTCACCTGCATGTCATTAACCACTTGAAATGTTTGCGGAACAAATTCAATGACATGAAAGCTTGCCTTGATATAATGTTAGAATTATAAACGACATGAAACTGTAGTAGAAGTTATTTTTCTTGCACAAATCTTTCTAAAATCTAAATAAGGCCCTCAAATAATTAGTTAACCTTGCTGTGTACCGAACTTGCTGTTTTTTTCCCTTTTAATTCCTTATTTTTTTTTGTGTGTGTAAATTATTAGCAATCTAACCATTAGTTAACCTTGCTGTGTACCAGAACCTTGCTGTGTACCGAACTTGGGTTTACAGATGTTGCCTTTTTACATTCTATTGCTTGGGTTTGTTTCTGTTTTGTTCAGAGCTTGTGTAGCTCCTTGATGGGTGGGTATGTGCCTGTTTTGTGCTGAGCTTGGGTCCACTCCTGTGAGTTGGGTTTGCTGCTGTTTTCGTTGTGGGTTGTCTACCTAATTGCTGTTGGGTTTGTTGCTTTTTTGTTCTTAGTTAACGACCAAGGTTGGTCGGATAGCTAGTTTGTTGGATACCATTATATTTTGATGGATATTGTTCTGTTAATTGCAAACTGTTAATGTTGCAATATATATTTTGTGGGAATGATGATTTGTAATATATACTATATGATTTGGTGCAGGTAAGTATGGCCGTGGACTGATCAATGAGTTATTTGAATTATCCAATATTGCTTTTGATATCAGGTAAAAGGGTAAGTGCACTTGGGTTTACAGATGTTGCCTTTTTACATTCTATTGCTTGGGTTTGTTTCTATTTTGTTCAGAGCTTGTGTAGCTCCTTGATGGGTGGGTATGTGCCTGTTTTGTGCTGAGCTTGGGTCCACTCCTGTGAGTTGGGTTTGCTGCTGTTTTCGTTGTGGGTTGTCTACCTAATTGCTGTTG